AATAATATATAATAAAAATTAATTCGAATATATTTTTATTTTATTAAACATATAATAAAATATATCTTTTTTTTGAGAAATACTATTTTTTTTTTTTTATTTATTATTTTTTTAATTAAAAAATATAATTATTAATTTATATTTATTATTTAACATTTTATTATTATTTTTAAATAAATAATATAAAACATTGTATAATTATAAATAAAATATTATAAAAATATGTTGATATATAAATGATTTCTTTTTAACAATAAAAAAAAAATATTAAAATTATTATCTTGTATTTTTAAAATAATTTAACATTAAAATTTAATTCTTTTTTAGTAGTAAAATTAAACATAAAATATAATCTGTAAAAGAATATTAAATTTGTTTTTTATAGAAAATTAAAAAATAATGACTATAAATAATATATATTTATATTTATATAATATTTATTTTAAAATTTATAAGAATAATTAATATAATTTCTTTTTTTATATTAATCTATTAAATATTTAATTAAAAATTATTTTATTACCATAAATAATTTTATTAAAAGAAAAAAAAATATTAATTTATAATATTTCATTAATATTTTTTGATATTTATAAAGTGATTGTAATAATAAAAAACTTTATATGAAATATAACTCATATATATAAAATTAATAATGGTTTTATAAAATAAATATAAATTAAATATATATTTTTCATGATAGTAATAAATAATATATATATATAAAAAATTATTATTATATTTAATATTAAAAAAAATATATATAATTTATTTATTTAAATTAAAAAAATATTTTTTTATATCAATTTATATAAATAAAATATATATACTTTTAAAGATTATTTTTTATAAAAAGATTATAAAAATAAATTAAATATTTTTAAAAATAATAATATAATCAATATAAATCAATATTAATTTAAAATCTTAATATCTTTATATGATTATATATTTTTCATAATCTTAATAAGAATTATTAAATTATATAAATAAAAATTTTTATTTAAAAAATAAAAAATAAATTATAAATATTAAATATATATGTATATAATATATTTAATATAAAAAAAATTCTTAATTTAATTATAGAAAAAAATAATATTTAAATTTAAAATTATATAAATATATATTTAAAAAATAAAATATATATATATTTTTTTAATAAATATTATATATTAAATAAATAATTAAAAATATTAAATAAAATAAAATAAATATCATATAATATTATTTTTATTTATTTAAATATTTTTCAAAATAATTTGATGTCTAAATATAAAAAAATAATATATATTAATATTTAATATAAAAAATAAATAAAAAAAATGATTTTATATTTTATTAATAATATCTTAATAGTTTCTATTTGATATTAATAAATTTATAAAATAAAATTTATTAATTAAATATATTATAATATACAATAAATTTATGAATATTAAAATATAAAAAAATATAAATTTAGATATAAATATAATTAATATTTATTAAATATAATAGACATAATATAAATAAATTGAAATATAATAATATGTTTTAAAGCTTTATTAAATTTATTAATAGTTTATATAATATTATTTAGTAATAATAATAATAAATTAAATAGATAAAAATATTTAATTAAAGATTATTTTTTTATTATATAGAATTATTTTAAGTTAATAATTTCAAAAAAAAAGAAGCTAATTATTTTATTTAATAAAAATATATTTATTTATACTTTTTAAATTTAAAATAAATAATTAAAATTAAATTTTTTAGTATTTATAACATTTTATTATTACAAATGATTTTATTTAGATTTATAAAAATAAATCAAAAATTAATAAGAATTTAAACATATAAAAATTGATTTCTTAAAAGAGTCAAATATATATTTGCAATAAAATAAAAAATATAAAATCTAATTAATATAAAATAGATTAAAAAATTATGTTTATTAATAACATAATTTATTAATCTTATTAAATATATAATTTTTTTTTATTTCTAAAAATAATTATAAATATTATAGAAAATATAAAACTAAATTTAATTAATATAAGAAAATAAAAATGGTTTCATAAAATAAATTAAAAAATTAATATTTTATATATATTTTATAAAATTAACTAATAAATTTTATACTTATTTATAAAAATATGGCTATATACAAATATATATTAATTTAAAATATATTATATATTTATATATATATATAAATAAAATCTTTAAATACATAATTCATTTTTTATTTTTTATATAATATATATAAATAATTGATTCTTAGATTAAAATATACACAAATATAGATGTTTACTCTTATTTTTATATAAAAACTTATTTAATCTAAAGAAAAATAAAATAATATTAACTATTAAAATTAAAATATATTAATAAAATAATTATAGTTTTTAAAGAAAATAAAATATTTTTTTGATATCTTTTTCTATTAAATAAAATGTAAAAATAAATTTAAAAATTATTTATATAAAAATTAAATTAATTTCATTTTTAAAAAAATATTATTAAACCATTTAAAGATAAATACTTATATATATTTAAATCAAACAAATATATATATATTTAAACTATTTTTAAAATTATAATTAATTTATATTTATTTAATATATAAATATAATAAAAAACAAATAATCTGAAAATTTTTAAATTAAAAAAATATTTAATTATTAGTGAATTAATTTTAATAATTAAGAAGTTAATGTGAATCAAAGTTTAAATATTTAAAATAAATAAGTATTCAATCTAATTAAGAAAAAATACAATAATCTAAAATTTTAAATAAAATATATTAATTTACTTTAAATATTATACTTTTAATTTAAAATTAATTTTCATAAATATTATTATTTTAATAACATATATATATTTACTAAATTAATAAATTTTCGCATTTTACAGTATTATTATAAATTAAAAAACAATAATAATTTATTTTTTAGTAAATTATTTTTAACTTTCAATAATCTAAGTTATACCATTATAATATCTGTTTATTTAAAAAAATAAATATTTAAAATTTTAAAATCAATAAATGTTATAAAAAAACAAATTAATAAAAAAATTAAATAAGGGATATAAAAATAATGAAATTTATATATACTAAACTAAATAAATTTAATTTATTTAATTATAAATATATAAAAATAAATTTTCATTTTCTTATTTTCAAAATTATCACAATAATAATCCAAATATAACATACCAAATAACAAAAGTAATGACTTTTTAATAACTATCATACTATTAATTATCGCTTTAAACCAATTGTAATAATCTAGAAGACGGTAATTTTTCGCATTATTTTAGTGTCTCATTATATTTATGTCCAGAAAGACATTGAGTGCATTTAAATTCTGTACACATTATACAACTTCTATATCTTTAAAAACAAGTAACACATTTTTTAGTTGTATAATCTAAAATTAAGCCTTAATTACAATTTATGCAATCTCCAGATTATGTACATTATTAACATCCTGTTGCACATAATTTTCCTGTATTTCCACTATTTAAAACTTCATCTGAGATATATAAGCATTCTATTTTTTAATGATCAAATTAATATCCATCATTACATTTAATGCAACTACTTTCAGTACATTTTTCACAATAACTGAATTTAAGAATGCAACTAGTACATTATTAAGTTAAATTACTTACATAATATCCATCTTAACATTTATAACATTCTCCTTATTAAGAACATTATTCACATCCGTAAGGGCATTCTACTTAAGTAGATTATTAAATGGCTTATTCACAATTCGTTTAAATTGAATCCAATTAGTATCCATGGTTACATTTTTTACATGAGAAATCATTACAAGTTAAACAATTTGCATACTTAGAAGAACATTAAAAGCACTATTTAGTTCTATATTCAGCATAATAACCATCTATGCATTTTGAGCATCCTCTTTCATCACAATATATACAATTTTCACTACATTTTTCGCATTTTTTACTATTATCAGAATAAAAAGTACCTTATTGGCATATATCTACACAACTACCGTCATAATTCTTTAATTTAATTCCTTCACAAACTAAACACTCTGTTGCATCATTAGGATTACATTATATGCAATTTTACTTACATAAAGTACATTTTTTATCCGTATCTAATCTATATCCTTTAACAGTATCACATGAAATACATGTATTATAATCAATTTATTAAAGACAACCAACAGAGAGTTCTTAGCATTCTTAAGTCTTTTATTACTCGATAAATCCTAATGGACATTTACTTAAACACGACTTATCAGCTTAATAAAAGAAAAAGCCTTTTTTGCAAGTATAACACAAAAGAGAATTTTTTTTCTCACAAGTTTCGCAATTTCCTTTACAAATTCTGGACATCTCAGACTCGCATTTACCAGAAGCCTAATTAAATGAATATCCATATTTTTAATTACATTATTCCACACACTAATTTTCTTACAGTAATGTCAAAAACAAACACTTAGTACACTCATTAGCTGATGGTCCTGTACATCTAGAACAACTACTATCACAGGGTAGGCATTTTCCTTATCTTCCAAACAGGCCTTAAGGGCAATCTGATTTGCAAGTATTATCTGGGTTCAAAAATAGACCTGAAGGACATTATGAATTTTTAATACAAGTTTGATTATGGACTGCACCGGAGCATTTTATAGAACAATCAATTCCTCCATATCCGGCTTAACAGATACATTAACCTCTTACACAGACTCCTTATTGAGAACAGAAATTCGGACAAATAGGAGTAAAATTACAGAATCTAATATAATCTTAAGGACATGTGACTTAACCTTTAGCTTTTTTACCACTTTAATCAATATCTTTTTTTTGTCCTTAATCTTCTATTCCACATATAAGTTCATGTTAAATCTCGGGGAAAATAATAGTTATTTAAGATGCATCGGAAGAACATTTGAATTAATGGCATCTTAAGTTACTTTCGCTATAAATTATAGATGAAGATTTTGAAACTGAAGATTAGAAGCATTTACTATTGGTTGAATAATTAGATAATTATTTTAATTCTTGATTTTTTTTATTTTTATCATTTATAATATAAGGATTTGAACATATTTAATCGAAATTTGGATAAATTATAGGACATCCGTCTGAATATTAATCAATAAAAGCAATACCGAATCCATCATATTCAAATGAACATTAATAATCATTAATGTTTTAAGCAAATTCAGGATATTAGGTTTAACTTTAACAAGCGTTTTCTAAAAAATCACAACCTTTTCCTTTTCCCCAATATATCTAATCAGCCATATTTTCATTTACATCAGGGTAAAAACCTGTATCTTTCAATGCAGCAATTGTAAAAATAGAAAAAGCAATATTAACAGTTATACCACCAGCAGTCATAATTTCATTAAAAATAACAGTTCTTTCCCAATGAGCACCAACTGATCCTACTCCACCCTATTAAAATAAAAAACATATAAATATATAGATATAAAAATATATAAATATATAAAAATATAAACATATTTATATAATTATTTATTTTTATATATATATATTTATTTATATATTTATATATATATTTATTTAAATAATAATTATATTTATATTTAATTACTTAATTTTCAAGTTACATGCCTTGAGCAGTTGGACAATTATAATATTTTTTAGTAACTTTTACTACATTTTTTGATGTTAATAGTGTCGTTTTTAATCCTCTGTAATTTAATTTTATTTATAATTTATTAATATAATCAGTATTATAAGGTTCATTAGTTTCAGGATCTATCCAATAGTACATAAGGTTTGCTGAGAAGCCTATTACATGTAAAATTTCATGAATAGTTATTTCCAAATAATTTTCGAAAGATTTATGATCTTTTCCTAATTTATCCATATATCTTAAGTTAAAATTTACTCTTCCAAAAGTAGGTCTTTCGATTTCTTGATCAGCCAATGCGCAATAAATAGCATCAGCATTCGTTCCATCATTCTCTTTATTATAAATAACGTACAAGTGTAAATCGGAATTAGGTATTCCTATTGTTTAGTCATTTTAAGGAATTGTAATTTCTTAACATTTTTTTGGCCAATTTGTAGTAAAAATATTATTTCCTTTTATTGGGTATACTTTTAAAAGTCTCTAGAAAAAATTCTTGGATGTTTCCATAATACTTACTAATTAGTTTTTTTATTATTGAGTTATTCCTAAATTTACTTAATCTATCATAGAATAATCTATAGTTATTCTAATAGGCTTTGCCTCGCTACCTATATTAAGAATTCGTTAGTCCTTATTTTTTTTTTTCATTTATTCGTAATGATCCTACATTTTTTAATAGTGATTTTATACTTTTTAACTCTCATGACCGCATTGACGGTTAGAATTTGTAAATATACCTAAAATTAAAATACTAATATAAATTAGTTTTTTAAACATATTTTTTAAATTTTTTTTATTTTGTTTAATTTTTTATTTTTTGTTATAGAATATTTATATTTATTCATTTTTATTTATATTTAAAATTTTTGTTATGTTAATTTTTTTTCATTTTTTTAATTAATATATGTTGGATTAATATTGAAGATTTTCATTTTTTTAAAAATTACGTAGATTTATATTTTATTTTTTTATATTTATAGATAAATAATTATGGTATTTATAATTATAAAACATTAATTTAATAAATGTTTATTTATATTATGATTTTGATTTATTCTAAATTTATTTATATTATATAAATTATTAATAAAATTACAAATATTAAATTAAGATATTTTTTTTTTAAATACTATTCTAATAAATATTAATATATACTAATTAATATATATTATACAAATAATTTTATATATGCTTAATATAAATTTAGTTATTACTTAAAAAAAATATCTTTTTAAAAATAAAAAATAAAAAAATAAAAAATCTAATTTTAAATTTATTTTTATATTATTTATCTATTGAATTTTAAGTCTTTTATATGAATTGATTTCTTTTATCTTTTTATTAAATATTTTTATATTTTTAAATTACTAATAATTTATTTATTTTTATATTTCAATCATATTTTATTTTTATTTAAATTTCTAAAATTTTTTTTTTTAATATAAATTAATAAAATAAAAATTATATTTAATTTTATAATCAAATAAATATTTTTTAATATTCAATATTAAAAATCTTTTAATAAAATATAGAGTGAGCTGTATATAATATTATAAAGTCTTTTATTTAATATTGTTATAGAAATTTTTTTTTCTAATCTTAATTTTTAATTTATTTTTTTTATTTTTATTTTATTAACTTACCATTTTTCAAAAATTATATTTAATTAATAAAAGTTATAGATTTTATATATTTATATTTTTTTAATTAAATAAAAAAAAATATCCTTTTAAAATGAATTGTTTAAAGATTTTTTTTTTTAAAAAAAACAAAAAAATTATAAAAATATAAAAAATAAAATGTAAAAGAATATATGAATTTAAATATTAATATAATATATATGTCTTATAAATTTAGATTAGTATTATGTATATATTAATTTTAGAATTTTTATATATATATAAAATATCAATAGTTTTTAATTTTCAATAAAAATAATATATATATTATTTATATTTATTTTAAAAGATGAAAAAAAAGATTTTTTGTTTATGTATAAAATATATATAGAATTTTATTAATTTATAAATATAATAATTAAAGCAATATTACGATAAAAAAAAATATAATTTTATTATGTAAATTTTTAATTAATAATAAAATAATAAATAAAAAAAAAACATTATAAAAAAATAAATATAAATATATTAATAAATATATATATATATATATATATATAAATATATATATAATATATATATATATATACATATATATATATATATATATAAATATATATCAATATTAATTTTATTTTATACCATTTTTATATACATAATATATATAACTTTTTTTAAATTTAAATAATTAAGTTTTTAATATTCTGTACAAATTTTCATTTAAGAATTTTAATATATCATTCATATAACAATATTAAAAAATAATCTTTTTATATAAACTTTATAAAAATTATTGTAAATTTAAATTGTAAAGATAATAATTCTTAAAAAGTTTTCATAATATAATTTTTTTTTTTCTTAAATAAAATTATTAATAATCGTAAATAAAATCAATAATAATAAATAGTTTAATTATATAATATGAAAAATCACTAAATTAATTTTAATATTATTATATTTTTTGTTTCAAAGTATAAAATAAAAATTTCAAAATAAATTTCAAAATTCTAAATGTATAAAGTTATTAATTATTTATAATTGGTTAATAAATTAAATAATTTATTATATATAGAAGAAAATAAATACAGTTTTTTAATGAATAAAAATATTTACTTGAAACAAAGTTTTTAATTAACATCATAATTTTTAAAAATTCAAGTTTATAATTTTAAATTGCAAATATATTTAAAAAAATAAAATATGTAAAACAATTAAAATATGTGACTTAACCTTTAGTTTTTTTTCCGATTAATAATTAGATATGCTTTGAATTCTTTTTTTTTATTTTTTTTTATCCATTATACTATTAGGATACAAACATAATTAATTTTAAGTAGGTTTTAAAATATTATATAGATTTAAATATTATTCGATTTTGGCGAAATCAATATCAGTCGTATTCAAATGAGAATTAAAATAAATAGATTTATTAAAAATTCAGGAAAATAAATGTAATTTAATAAAGCATTTTCTAAAAAATAGTACATATTCCAGAAATATATCATATATATATATTGAGATTTACTTCAGAGAAAAGCATATTTCTTACAAGCATAAATTGAAATTAAAATAAGAACAATACAACAGTTATTATAGATCTATTCGCAATTTAATATAAAATAATAGATAATAAACAAAAAGAAAAATATAAATCCAATATAGACAAAAAAAATTATATATATATATATATATATAATAATATATATATATATATATATATATATATATATATTTATATTAAAAAAAATTATATATATAAATAAATATTTTATTACATATTTTTTCTTTAATTAATATATATTTTTATTATATTTCATTTTTTTTTTAATTTACATTTATTTTTTTAATTTTTATTTTTTATTAGCTATTTTTAAAATTAGATATTTTTATTTTATTTTAATATTTTTTTATTTATTTTTTATTTTGGAATTTCGCAAAAAACAATATTATTCTGAACTTATTTTTATAGAAAATATATTCTATAATATTTTTTCAAAATTGTAATATATATTTTATTTATTAAATCTGATAAATTTTTTTATATTATTAATAATTGTTATAAATATATTTCTGAAATTTTTTTTTTTTTTAAAATATTATTATATAAATTTATTTTTTATAAACTTTTAAATATTTTTATTTAAAAAATACATAAAAAAACATTAATATATATTTAAAATTTACGTAATTATATATAATTTTTATTAATAACTGTTTATTTTTTTAAAATAAAAAAAGTCTAAATATCATTTATATTTATTTTTTAATAAAAAAATAGTTTATCAAACATTAATATTATATCTATTTTTTCGAAATTCGATATACTCTAAAAAAAATATTATTAAAATATAAAGAAAAAATATTATAAATTTTATAAAATAAAAAACAATATCTTAAACTTAAAACTTAATAAGATTAAATTAATATTTTAGAAACTATAAAATATTATTAATAATAAAAATAATTTTATATAATATAAAAATATTGGTATAATATAATATTTTTACAATTTTTAAAGTTTTTTATAATAATTTTAGACTCAAATATAATTTTAATAAGATTAAGTAAAAAATCTATGTATAATATCAAATAAATAGCAATAAATATATAAAAAAATATTAAAAAGGAAAAAAGAAAAAACATTATAAATATTTTTTTTTAATAAAAATAAAATAATATTATTAATATAAATTTTGAAGAATAATATATAAACTAAGTATTTACTTAATATTTAATATTAATATAAAATTATGTATAATATCAAAAATTTTTAAATTTTAAAAGAAAAGGAATTTTTTCAAAAAAAAATAAATTAAGTATAAATTTATTTAAATATATAAATACATAAAAAAGCATGTGAAATAAAAATCTGTAAATTGAAAATTTAAAAAATTATTTATATATAATAAATTTAATGTTATAATTAAAAAGTTAATAGAAATAAAAGTTTAAATGATTCAATAAATAAATAGTAATTCAAAAATTAATTTAAAAAAAATATATTAGTCTTAATTTCTTATTTACTTTAAATATTAGACTATTTATTTAAAAAATTTAATTTTAAAAAATCATATTATATTAATATTAATTTTATATATTCATTATATAAAATAAATAATTTCTCATTTTGATTTTTTATTAAAATAAATAATTAAAATGATTGAAATTTTATTTTATTATCTTAAATTAAATATAATAATTTATTTTTTAGTAAATATTTTTCAACATACCTTAGAATTAGTAAATAAAAATAATAATCTAAATTATACGATTAATAAATTTGTTTATTTAAAAAAAAAAAAAAATATAAAATTTTAAAATTAATAAATATTATAAAAAAACATATAAATAATAAAATATAATAAGAAATAAAAAATCTATGTAATTTATAAAAACTAAACTAAATAAATTTATTCTACTTTATTTATTTAATTATAAATATATAAAAATAAACTTTCATTTTCTTAATTTCAAAATAATCATAATAATAATATTCATTATTCTTGATATTCTAGTTATTCTTGTTATTATTGTTATTCTTGTTATTCTTGTTTTTATTTTTCAATTTTTTCGAAATGTGCCTTCAGTTTCTAATAGTGATTTTATATTTTTTAACGTTAATGGCCACATTGAATGCTAGAATAAGTAAATATACATAAAATTAAAATAATAATTTAAATTAGTTATTTAAACATTAATTTTTTAATTTTATTTATAATTTTTTATATATTAAATTATTTATAATTATATATATTTATTTTTATTTAAAATGAAGTTTAATTTTATTTTTTTTATATTTTGTAATTACACATATTAGTATTAATTTGTAATATTAATAATTTTTTAAAAAAATATATATTTATTTATTAATATATATATTATTTAATC